TCACTGACAAAACTAGAAAATAATTTTTGAAATTGAGTGTTTTTCAAACTTTGCTTTCATCAGAGTCCTCCATTTGCAGCAATTGCAGCCTTGTAGGCCTTGGGCATTCTAGATGTCAGTTTGAGGTTATCTAGCAAGATTTCACCCCGTGCTTCCTGTAGCATCTTCCACAAGTTCAACTGGCTTGATGGGCACTTCTTACATACCATTCGGTCAAGCTGCTCCCATAATAGCTCAATAGCAATTGAGATCCGATGGAGTAGCCAGCACAGTCATTATACACAGAATGACGGCAGACTGCTTCTTCCCTAAATAGTTCTTGCATAGTTTGGAGCGGTGTTTGGGTCATCGTTCTATTGTAGGACAAAATTGTCTCCAGTTAAGCACGGTCCACAGGGTATGGCATGGAGTTGCAAAATGGAGTGATAGCCTTCCTTCTTCACAATCCCTTTTACCTCCTACGAATCTGCCACTTTTCCATCACCAAAGCAGCCCCAGACCATCACATTGCCCCCACCATGTTTGACGGATGTTTTTCATTTTGATCAGCGTCTCAAACGTTCTTTGTGATCTGAACACCTCAAACTTAGATGAATCTATCCACAGCACTTTATTCTTATCTTCCTCTGTCCAGTGTGTGTTCATTTGCCAATCTTTTTTCTTTTTATTGGTCATTGAGGTATGGCTTTTTCTTTGCACGTCTGCCTAGCAGGCCAGCATCCCAGAGTTACCTCTTCACTGTTGACGTCCTGACTGGTCTTTTGCGGGTATTATTTAATGAAGCTGCCAGTTGAAGACCTACGAGCTTCTCTGTTTCCCAAACTACATACTCTAATGCATTTATCCTCCCTCTCCCCTTTCTGCTGTGGTTAGGGCCAGTTTGCACTGCTCCATGAAGGCAGCAGTACACAGCACTGCACGAGATCTTCAGTTTCCTGGCAATTTCTCACATATTCTCAAATAGCCTTCATTTCTCAGAACAACAATAGACTGACGAGTTTCAGAAGAAAGTTCTTTGTTTCTGACCATTTTGAACTTGTAATCAAACTTGCAATTGCTGATGCTCCAGATACTGAACTAGTCCAAAGAAGGCCAGTTTTTTTTTCTTCTCTAATCAGCACAACAATATTCATCTGTGCTAACATAATTGCAAAAGGGTCTTCTAATGATCAATTAACCTTTTAAAATGATCAACTTGCATTAGCAAACGCAACATTCCACTGGAACACAGGACTAATTGTTGCTAATGGGCCTCTGTACACCTATGTGGATATTGCATCAAAAAAACGGCCATTTCCAGCTGTGTCATCTATGATATTTCTAAGTGACCCCAAACTTCTGAACGGTAATGTGTTTTTAGAATTACTTATCAGAATCGCTGTGTATAAACTTAGAAATCAGAAGTCTAATTGTGAAATGCTGGATGAGTTTTGGAAAATGTCATTAATGTGAATATAATTTGTCAGTGTGAACTTGGGTATATGGTAAGTTTAAATGAATACATAATTTGATTTGACTCGGGATGTGATCAGAGGCATATCAAATTGAAAGTCTAACAATATAGCCTCCAGGAGGAGCTCTTCTGCTTATAATCCTTCATACTCCACAGGTGATTCCCAAAGAGTAGAGATGCCAAGAATGGATGTGGAAGTAGTCAAGGGCCAGATGGTCGTCCTTCAAGCCTGGTACAGCCCCACATCCGACATCAGCAAGAACACTGTCATCTGGAACTTCATGGCCAACGACTCCAAGCAGGTGAGTATGAAGGTTATGTAGAAATGATGGATCAGGTTAAGTTGTCTGAAAATGGGACAGACCTTACCTCCAACATCTCAGGAGGCCAACCATCAACCATCATTTTCATAATTTTAGAGTAATTTTAATCCCAACTTAAAATGCTAACATTTTAGCAATATGTTAAGATTCTATGCCAGAATCTTAACAGCAGGAAGGGTATCTTGTATGGAGCTTCTATTTGTTTACACTGCTATGCCCTTTTGCTGTCAAATTCTGCTCAGGTTCATGCAAGACAAACAAATGTAAAATCTATTTCCCCAGGCTTTAGCCTCCAGGACAGACTCGCCTTATTCCATTTCAGGTATCCTTTTTTTGTGAGGGTCACTTTCTGTTAAATTTTTCAGAATTGTTCTATAAAGAGCAAAGGACCAAATTAGGGGCGTATATCATGAGGCCATTCTTAAAAGCAAGGTGGTTACATCCACCTTAAGCTAAATTGACATCTACATTTTCAGTGAATGAATAAATTTTTTTTCACTTGAATTCAAGCAGTAAAAAATATAAAACTGAATTGGTATACAATTACGTTCATGAAGATGTCTTGATCATCCGCTTTTATTTATTCTTAATTGCTTCAGTTAACATCTATTGAATTTCACTTTCTCTGTGGTATCTGCATCAGTGTTATGCAGGTTTCAAGCATCCACTTTAAAGTAGCATCGTGTAGCCATGGCATGGATACTGATGGTGAATTCCCACGTGACCCTGCTCTTCAGGTCATCTCGTATAGCTCTGGCCAGATCGGCATTGGGAGTCCGGAGTTCCGAAGTCGAGTGGGCTTTGCCCTCTCCATGCCCTCCACCAACCTGTCCATCTTCATCAACAACACGCAGGAGGCCGACACGGGCCGCTATCTCTGCAACGTCATCGTTCCGGGGGCCCCTGGCCTTTCTGGCGAGCTCAGCCTAAACGTCAAGGGTACCCTTCATGATTTTTAACATGTGCGGTTATGTGTCACTTAACACCCTTCCACACAATGTTCAATTCCCATATAAAGTCTCGTAAGGTTTAAATGGTTGAAATATCCTAATCACCTAATGGCACATGGGCGCAAGTGGCCATCGTGCACCACATATAGCCAGTGTGAACAAAGTGGCTGCACTGCCAGCCATATAACTGTGCAGAACATATCTAACTTAATACCTGTAACACCTGACAGTGATATGCATTTACTGTGTGTTTTAATGTTTACTCTGGCCATTTAGGCAGTCCGGGTACAGAATAGGTGCAGTATGCTGTATAGCAGTGGTTTTCAACCTGTGGGCCGTGGCCCCCTAGTGGGCCGCGACGGTATTGCAGGGGGGCCGGCAATTATTATTAATAGAAATTGTAATATTGTTAATATAATAAATGTCTAGTCAAAATCAAATAAATCATAATTTGATATATAATGAAATAAATTACCAGTTTATTCAATAAAGACAATTAACAGCCTTGCTTCCGAGTACTTAGTTAACCCGACACAAAAAGCGGGATCGTTTAAATTCTTTTGCAGTGGGCCGCGGAAACATATGTGTTTGGCTGTGTGGGCCGTGAGTTAAAAAAGGCTGGGAACCACTGCTTTAGAACATTTTAGTTTTTTGTATGGTATTAGAATGCCTCGTCATTTGCTATACATTCGTTCACTACAGTAGTAAGAAAACAAGACACAAGTGTTTCACAAAAAACAAAACTGATGATGTTGCAATAGGTGAAATACAGTAAATAGTGGGATTACTACATGTACAAAATAATAAACTATCGCTGGAGTGTGGCATGAGTGTCCTGTAGTTGTGTTCTGGGCATACAGCAACTCTGGATATAACGGACTGTTTTGCACTTTATTTTCCCCCTCAGCTTGGCTTCATTGTTGGCTTGATTTGCATTTCTGGCCAATATGTTCAGTTTAATAAAGTGACTTTTTAAAAATCAGAACCATGTGTGTATCCCATTAACTACTGGTCACTTATGAACTCAATGCAGCTTTTTAAAGTGCTGAGCAACTTTGTAATTCCTCACTTGAGGCAGTGAAGACACTGAGCTATAATGAATTACCAACCCTGTGTAAAAGAGAAACTTACTGGACTGGGTGATACAGCCAAACATCAATATAGATAATTCTCAATATATTGCCTTGAATTACTTCAATGCTCCATTTTTGCTTAAAATTCCTTTAAATTGTCAAACTGCAGTCCTGGACGGCCGGAGCCCTATGTAGCTTAGTTTTTTCCCTGTTACACCACAAATGATTCAGCTCAAGAGGTGCAAGGAGTTGAATCACGTGTGTTAAATGAGAAAACCAAAAATGTGCAGGGCTCCGGCCCCCCAAGACTGGAGTTTGACACCCCTGCTTTGATTCAGAACATGAATAAAGGTGTCAAACTTAATTGACTGCAAACTGACATCTTCGTATGAAACCAGCGGCACCATTTGTTGCTAAGGGTTTTTTTTTCTATGACTGCATTGCTGTTCGAATGGGTTTGACTTAAGGCTGACAACTTCTGGCAAATATCACTATTTTCAGAGATTTTCACAATATTGAAATTTGTCACAATATTCTAAACTTCACCTGTAGAAAACAGTAACATGAAAAACACAAACCCTGTCATATCATGAGCATGTGACCAGATATAATATGTCAGTCATACCTTGACCTGGACTTCTGTAAAAATAGTGCATTAACTGCACTTACGCAAGAAAAGAAGAGTTAAGGCTATCACTTTACTGGGAATATTCAAATTGATGATACGAATGTTCATAATCATGAAATTTTATCTAATGCCCAGCCCTAAGAAATTAACATAACCTTACTTGCATCGTTAAATTAATACTGATGAGCAGAAAAATAACTCTGTACATGTGCCAGTTGATATTTTCACAAAGCTACCAGGAATGTGCAGAAACTTGAAGTAGGAATATGTCAGTACTTGTTGCAATTCAAAGGCAGGACTTCCTAGATAGGAGTGAGTACAGCTCCATGCCCTCTGGTCATGACGGATAGGGCCAGTAAGTGGGCAGCAGCTGTTAAGCTAATCAGTTCATGAGAGGAGCAGCTCATTAACCTCAGGAAGAGAGGACAGGATACAATATGGCACACAACATAAGCAGACTTACGCTAGAAGGCTGGTTAATTAAACGGCAGAAGCCTAAGCAGGAAACTCACCTGTTTCTGTCAGGGAGGACGCTCTGGCTCCCAGGCGAGTCTCCTGGGCGAGAAGCGGAGTGGGCACGGACGACACCTCCAAGAACGGTACCCTGTCCTCCACGGCTGGCAGACGCCAGCCAGAAAACCGCTACCCCCACATGCTGGTGTCCAACGGCGGTGCGGTCACGGCGACGGGCAGCTGTGCGGGCTACCGGCTTCAGGACCCCAGCGTGCTGCAGGGCCTGCCGGGGTACACTGCCAGCGGCAGCCTGCCCCGCCTGCCCCCCATGGTTCCACAGCACAACAAGCCCATGCTCAGAACTGCCCCAGCCCAACCTCAGGCCCCCTCCAGCACCATCAGCCACGCAGCCATGGCCCAGATGGCCAAGGTGCCCGTCACGGTGCCCGCTCGCAGCCAGGCAGGCTCTCTGGTGTAACAGTCGGGCCCCGGCAAAGTAAAAAACAGAACGTTTTGAGATGACAGCCCTTAAGACAGTGAGAGGTACAGAATAGCAAGATTGCAGCAATGCAAATGACTTGTATCTGGTGTATCCTGATTCAGAAAACGTTTTTATATTAAAAATGTATTTAATACAGAGTACAAAATACCACTTATTTAACATTACTTACAATAGCTACACAATTTTTAAAACCGTGTCCTGTGGAAGATTTGTACTTGCTGCTTTTCCTTGTGAAAAACCACTTTTATAAAACAGACCTATGAAATGGACTTGAATGAATTAAGTGTTCTTGTTTAGTTCCAATTGATGTTCGTTGTGACATGCTGTGTTTAAGGGAGGACAGAGGCTGGGTCTCAGACACTGTGTCCAATGCGAGGAGGTTACATGTGAAATATAGTGAAACAACACTGGCCCCAGTCTGTTGGAACCAAAATGTGATTAAATACAATGATCACACTGACAAATAAAATTTGTATTGCAATTTAACACTCGCGTCTGTACTGGCAAATCCCACAATTTAGATACAAAAACCTCTGAACGCACTATTGAAATGTAAGTTATGAGTCTCAAAACTTAACATGAGACTTTGGTAACTCTCAAAGAGAAAATGGCAGCAATGAAAAATGTAAAATACTAAAAATTAGAAAGTAGAATACAAGATGAGGTAAAAAAAAAAACTGCATTTAAAACAGGTATTGCATGCATTATAGCAATTGTATTTATATTGCACTTATGAAGTGTAACAAATTACATTCACATTGCAACATTAAATTAACATTTCATCCTTGTTTTAATGAACCTGTTAATGGTGTGTGCCATTGCATATCTGGAATTACGCAGTACTTCTGTGTCCAGGGTGACACATTGTAGAGAGGTATGCAGAACAAAACAGCGGCTTATCTAGCGATAAGAGACCATAGCAGGCAGGATTAACAAGCGCCTCCAGTCAGATTGGCCTGCCTCACTTGGCTTGCTTTATTAGTTCCCATTGGGTTAAACATGGCCGTCATTTGACAACATCCAGCAGTTCAAAACTATCAAAATTTTATCAGCAGAACCCAAGACTATGCGGGCCCACATGAAAAAGTGCATTTTTTATTATTTACGTTTCCAATTTCATCGCAATAATAATAAGAAAGAAAAAATAGCATATGGTTCCCAGCATACCTTATCCAACCATTTTTGATTCCGAATTGCCCAAAGATTGGGAAACCCCCATCATCCCCCAGTCACACCTCTACTTTCGACGGCCCCTTTGTCCTTTCGCTTAAACAGGAACACCCAGCCACTAGAGAGCCATTATCTCGATTAGTGAGCAAACAGTTGAAGCACAATGAAAGCTCTGCCAGCTCCGTGCAGCTCATGGATCCTGTGGGCCGTCTTCTCCTGCTTCGGTAAGCTACCAGGCCGAAACCGTCGCGGAAAAACTAAATTACGCTGTAACTCCGCTCACAGATAGAAATTTCCGTATTTCTGGGACTCTCTAGCTGACTTATAAAATAGTTTTTTTGCTTAAAGGTCACCACTGGCAGACATTAGCCTTATTGCATGTTAAGAGCACAGTAACAGCTTAAAAACCGTAAATGTAGAAGAGATTCTTTCTTACCTCACATGATTAATTTCATCATGAGACTGTGGGGAGGATTTTATCCCATTCCGAGCCATCGTTCACTGGCCAGTGTGTCACATGACGATGCCCTGGGTGGACCTACATGCCTCTCTCTCTCTCCCTGGGGCAGGTTCCGTCTCCGGAGGACAGCCAGTCACAGTGGAAAAGCTAGTGTTTGCCCGCACTGGGGAGCCAACTGAGCTCACCTGCGATTACCGCACTCAGCCGGGCCCGGGATTCACCGTGGAGTGGCGCCATGCCGCGATGGGGACGCCTGCCATAGAGGCCCGCAGGGTGAGGCCCAGTACCCATAGAGGTCCTGACTGTACTCACCTCCATTCTGTGACATCTTCAGCTCTGGCTCCCATTTTATACCTGTATTCCACCTACAGCCGTCCTCTACCACACCTCTCTGTTCAGGTTACATTTTATTCTGGCTGGAATTTAGCTCAATATTCAATGTTTATCCTCCATACAGGTGCTCTACTACAACGGGAAGGTATACTGGGTTGAATCCTGGGAGAACCGGGGAGTGCTGGTCCAGAACCCACCTGTTCAAGGCTCCGCCTCCATTCGCATCTTCAGCGTGCAGCCATCTGATGCAGGGCTGTACATCTGCGACATCACCAACCCCAACGACTGGGCGGGAAGTGGCCCGGGGCTGGTCAACTTTACAGTACTCAGTGGGTATCTGCAGACGGCGCCCGCTACAGATAGGAAAATCTGTCTGTGGCAAGTTGGCCATTCTATGATCTGACGTTGATTCTGTTGACTACCGCAGTGCCTCCATCCACACCGACGTGCTCCGTGAATGGAGAGGCCTACCCAGGAAATGACATCACGCTTATGTGCCTCAGTTCCCATGCTGTTCCTGCCCCTACCTACACCTGGAGCCGTGAGAAGAACGCCATCCAGCTGCCACTGCAAAACATGGTAGAAGGTAGTGCAAGAAAGCAGGGTTACCGTACTCCCTATATTAGTCCCAGGGGAGCCTTACCAAGGCTGGGGGCATATCGCCAGAACCATCGTGTAAGATGGAGACGAAGAACCTCAAACTGAAAACAAAATTAACTGCATCAGCAGCAGCACAAATACATTGAGGTGGCTTGCATCCAGACCACAGTGCCTTTGTTCTTTACTCACGTTATATAGTACCAGTGATTACATTCCATGCTGTTCTCTTCTCTTATAGACCAGCAGACAGGCTCCCTGATCTTGCGCAATCTCTCAGCACCCTTCTCAGGCACCTACACCTGCAGGGCCTCCAACGAGCTAGGGGGCGCCATCTGCACCGTAGTGCTCAGCGTCAGCTGTAAGTACTCAGCGAGGGGTGGGCTCCCATTGACTGCTGTGCTTTGCCTGCACTCTGGAGCTCTGGTACACATTCCTGCCCCCATGTCAGCTTGTTTACCAACTAAAATTAAATTACACAGATGCTAGATGCTTCTAGCTGTCAACAACTGGCTGTACAGAAGGACAATAAACAAGTATGGTCATATCTTCACTCTTACAGAGGGAAAGCAGAGGTCAAATGACAGATGGCCTGATGTTAAACAGACAGTGTAATCTGCAAGTATGCGTTTCATCAAAGCGGCTTAGCCCTGTGACCTGGTCCATATGATGCAGTTTCTAAACCAGGGGAGTGTGTGTGTGTGTGTGTCTGTGTGAACCACCCTGTTTCTCCCTTTCAGACAACAGCAGTGCAATGGTTGCTGGTATTGCTGTGATTGTCACCTTCGTCATCCTCCTCCTCCTCGGGGCAGTGATGGGCTACTTCCTGTGGTACAAGAAGAGAAATCGCAAAAGCACCGAGGAGGGCCACAACCCAAGGTGTGTTCTGTGTCTTTACGATCAGACTCACCACCGTGCTCCCTCGCTTAGCCCTAGGTCTGCTGGGGGCCGGGCCCACATCCTGCCCCAGATATACTGCCGGAGGGTCCACAGCCGCTTCCGTCTAGCTTCTGCTACTGCTCTTTTCAGTGGTCTGACTGTCTTGTGTTGCACGATCCACAGAGATCCACGGGAGTCTGCTTCAGCCACTCCATTAACACGGAGCCCTGGGGACCGGCCGCCCCACCATTCGGGGGACGGGGAGGATCACCTCATCCCAACAAAGCCCAGCATCCTGGTATAGAGGAAGGAGGGCATGCAACTCGCCATTCCTGATGAGTTTTTTCAAAAATTCTTCATGAATCAGTCACATATCATTAATGGCTGGTACCAATGTAAAAAAAAAAAAAATTTAAAATTATACTGCACTGGATGACAGAGTGCAAAATTAGCAAGGTAATAAAATCGGCTGTAATCGTCTGAGCATACAGCCATATGGCTCTGCCCATCGCATGACGTCTCGCACACAAACCTGTGGCAGAGCTTCTAAGCAGATTACTTTGACCGATTATGTTTGATTTGCTTGTTGTAAATGAGACAGACCGCAGTAATGCAATTGCAATCAGAAGCTGCAGCGAGAAAACCAGGATGTTGTGTTTTTGTGAGTTTTTAATGCTGTTTTCCAGATGCTGGTAACAAAAGTATGAATAAAGATCATACTTAATTGACCTACGTTTTGACCGTGTGATCATTAATATAAACAAACAGCAGCATGCATATGAGTGATTATCTTAGGGTGTAGAACAAGTACAATCATCATATACAAGTACAAGTGCTAGACACTCGAGCAATGACAGGCCTCACCCTCCGTGTCCATCTTACTGTACATCAGTCACAACCCCTTTCAACCAAGAATTACAGAACCTAGACATCTCCACACTCCTACAGCACTACTAAAGTAAACATACACAGATTTCATCTTTTAAACAAGGATTAAAGAGACCCTAAAACAAGGAGAACAGAAGGTGGACAACCAAAATTAAGGGATGTGGGAAAGTGTGTGTAAATCATAATACACTATGAACTGTTTTCAGAGACATGGATGAAGTTGCTAAAACTGAAGAGGAGAGACTTCATAGGAGGAAAGTCAACCGAAAATGTACTAAAACTGATGATTTTATTGAAAAATGCTGAGGTGACGATAAGTGGCGTCAATCCCAAACCCAGCATCAGAGCCGTAGGACCAGTGAAGACTGTAGCTTAGTTTGTGCAAGATTCTTGACATTATTCACTGCAAAACACTGAAGGGACATTTCTATATTTATCACTATATGACAACTGAGAGCTAAATGTTCCTCCCACACAGTGATGTCAGAGATGGAGTCCTGTTTAGGTAGCACAGCTTACGAGTCTGTCAGCAGGCTCCTGGAGATGATCATACGCATCACTTCATTTGTACCTGAGGGAGAAAAACAGGATAACCACATGATCTAAGACCAGCCAGTTATAGTACCATCTCAAATGAGCAATAGATGACAGGTTATTAATCTACAGTACAGACAAAATCTAACAAGTTTAATGTAAATGAGCAGGCTTGAGTACATCAACGCTCATTAACACACATGACTAAAATGCACTAACCACAAAGTTACGGAGGACGATTCCAGTTGTATTCTTACCTTCCAGAATCTGGTGCACCCTGAGGTCTCGCACAAACTGCTGGACAGGGTAGTCTTTGAGGTAACCATAGCCCCCAAACATCTGGAGAGCTTGGTTGCAGATCTGTGGAATGGGAAAACAATCTCGTCTTAACAGTCACACAAAAGGCAGCAGACAGCTTGTGTCCGGAAGAGCGCTGCTGAGCATCATTATCTACTAGCTTATGCAGCCACTTAAAAATAAGAAGCCCTCAGGACATCCACAGGCTAGACCGGGAGGGACGTGTGAGCTTATTAAACTTGGAAAAAAAGAAAATAAGTGATTTTTTGCTAAAGACGCTGCCGCCAATTTATTACTATATTGGGTGACTGTAAAGAGTAATCCTTGTCTGAGCCAGTCACCATGGGAACCTCACCGTGAAGCACTCATCCGTAGCAAAGAGCTTAGCCATGGAGCAGAGGGCCACAGCGTCGTCCCGGCCCTCCTGCAGCGAGGCAGCTGCCTGTCTCACCATCAGCCGCGATGCCACCAGCCGGGTCGCCATCTCAGCCAGGCGGAACTGCAGGAACTGTGGGGTGCCACTCAGAATTCACTGCTCACAGAGCCCAGCAGATCCCACCGCACTCACCCACAATTCACTGCTCACAGAGCCCAGCTGATCCCACCGCACTCACCCACAATTCACTGCTCACAGAGCCCAGCTGATCCCACCGCACTCACCCACAATTCACTGCTCACAGAGCCCAGCTGATCCCACCGCACTCACCCACAATTCACTGCTCAGAGTCTAGCAGATCCCACTACACAATTCTACACCATCCCACCCTATCAATGTTTTGCCATTCCAATTAATGAGGGGTTGATTGTGTCTTTAATTGCCCACAACAGTGAGTCAAGGCACGCAGAAAAACATGTTATTCATGAATAAGTACTGTATATGGCAGATTACCCTGAAGAAATTACATAAATTTCAAGCATAACAGTACTTAATATTTATCTAATTTGTTTTTTACCATGTTGTCTACTCATGTTTATTAAATTACCATTAGTACAGAGAGCTTTTTAATACCTTTTATCCTTTTAGCTGCTCATTATTAAAGCCATGAAGTTGTCTGCTTCCTACCTTAGAATCTCCATTTAATAAGTGTTTGAGAAAATGTTTAGGCTAAAATCTGGGCTTATTCTATGTTGATTGATGGTGCTGGGGTGTGTGTGTGGGTGTGTGTTGGCCTTGTTGGGGCCAGTGTTATTATCAGAAACAAAACTGAAATGAAAATGTACACTAAATACAAATAATTGACCTCGCGCAGCCGGCACCTCGCGCAGCCGGCACCTCGCGCAGCCGGCACCTCGCGCAGCCGGCTGTCGAAAGGCCGTGTTCTGTACCTGGCTCTTAGACAGCGTCTCCCCAAACTGCTTCCGCACAGTCAGGTGTTCCCTGGCCAGCTGGACAGAGGCATGGGCGGCACCCAGGGAGCAGGACGCTGAGGGAACCAGCAACCAACTCATACACATTCCTATTGCAGGGCACACCCACCCCCCCCAACCCCCCAGACCTGAGGTTGCAGGACTACTGCACCTGCGACCCGGACGGCTGCACAAACTGACCGATGTTAATCCTGCCTCCGTTGAGGCCCTTCATTGCAATGTTGAATCCCTCGCCCTCCTGACCGAGTCGATTGGCTGCTGGCACAGCGCAGTCCTCAAATATGACGGCACGTGTTGGCTGTGAGTTCCAGCCTACCTGTTTTAATAAAACGGGTTCAATCAGAACTACATATACTGGAGCACTTCATGAACATAGACTCAACTCTGCCCTCTGGTGGACGTTTCCCTTACATCAACATAATAATTATAAATAAAACTTTTGTGCCATAGATCAGGGGGATAAACAAAAAATAAATGCACCAAAAAATTATATTTCTTTAAGCATAAAATACGCAACCTTCTTCTCCTTCTTTCCAAAGCTCAATCCAGGTGTAGACTTCTCCACCACCAGACAGGAGATGCCCTTGGGTCCCTTTCCCCCAGTGCGGCACATGACCACGTACACGTCTGACTCGCCCGCACCGCTGATGAAGGCCTGTGGGGGGCAAAGACAGAAGTGGAAAAAAGGGGAAAAGGGTCCCAGATCCCAGGTGACCTGTTCCAGCTTCCGCGGTACCTTGGAACCATTGAGGACATAGTGGTCGCCTTTGCGCTGTGCGCTGGTCAGCAGGGAGGCCGCATCGCTGCCACTTCCTGGAAACGCAGAAGGAAGCAGCTGCGCATTAGAGTAGACCATCCGCTCCTCCAGCAAACTCAAGTTTCATGTTTTATACTGTGTTCCATTTAAACTTGGTAGCCGGAAATTTCAAATGGAACGCCCTCTGAAGTCAGAATTCCGACTCGGAAAGTCGGAGGCGCCTCTGCAGCCCTGACCTCTGAATTCAAGATGGCTGCGCCCTTCATCAGCAGAAGTGACAGCTTGAGTTGTATACTGTTTATTAGCACTTAATTCTTACTTGTGACTCATTAAATCAGTCATACGCACAGTACTGTCCAATGGCTACCTATGGACATGTTGCTACGGTGTTTGTATGCACAAAATACCATGTAATGTATTACCAGATGGTATTGCTAATAATGGCAAACAATGAACCTGTTTCAGAAAGCAAGATTTCTTGCTTAGCCAGATAACATGTTGGATTTAAGGTAGTCTAGATTAAATGAAAGTGAATGAAGATAAAGCCCATGTAAACTTGGCTACGTTAAATCCGACAAGTAATCCAGGTAAACAAGAAATCCTGCTATTTGAAACAGGTCCCTGGCTTTGCTAAATGGCTTTTCGGCATTGTTGTACTGCAAAAAGCATGAGGTTATTCCCAGCTCTGAATTCTGACCTCCAAGGTAACTGGAACGCAGCATTAGTCAAATGTTCAGAGGAACACGGTGAAATTCTTGCACTACAGTTGCAGGACAGGACAAACAGTAGGACAGGACAGGACAGGACAAATACAAGAACGACTCATGGGATTCAAGTTTGAGAAACAATCATCTGACACCGGAAGGACACACATCATTACACAAAATAAACAGAAACAAATGCCTAGCAGCCTGAATGACTTTGTCTGGTCTCCTTTCTCCTTCACGG